GGGGCCTCGGTATATAGGCCCGTTCAGGATCACGACCCGGGTGGGCAAAGTAGCATATCGCTTGGATCTGCCAGAGGAGCTTAGCCAGATTCACAACACGTTCCATGTGTCGCAACTTCGGAAGTGTGTCACGGACGAGGCTGCGGTTGTCTCATTAGGGGATATCCAGGTGGATGAGAGATTGAACTACATCAAGAAGCACGTTGCCATCTTAGATAGGAAGACGAAAGCTCTTCGGAATAAGGAAGTAAGGCTGGTAAAAGTGCAATGGCAACATCGGAAGGGCTCCGAATGGACTTGGGAGCCGGAAGAGGAGATGCGAGACCATTACCCAGAATTGTTTGGGTCGGCAGACTTCGAGGACGAAGTCTAGTTCAAGTGGGGGAGACTTGTAACACCTGGTTTAAGTTGGGAAGGATTTATGCATGGACTCGGCGAGTTGGGAGGTCAACTCGTCGAGTAAGGTCGTGAGATCATGAATGTGGAACGGGACCGACTCAGCGAGTCGACGTCCGACTCGGCGAGTCCGAGCTGTTTAAAGAAAACCCTAAATTTTGGGTTTGCCCCCTATATAAACGTTATTATACGCCCCAGTAGCCTCCCTTAGCATCATAGAAAGACGTTTACGGCCGCACACCCTCTTGTGAATGAATCAAGATCAATTGGGAGCTTATCCTTGGAATTTTGGGGAGGATTCCAAGCTTGAAGAAGAAGTATCAAGGGGAAAACACTAGATCTAGCATCTAGTTCGTCTTGGGCATTGATTTGAGGTATGAATCTGTTATCTTAAGCATAAATTCTATTTGAGAGTTGTGATCAACTTTGAGGAAGTGGAAGCAAACTTAGATATGGACCTATCACAAGGATATGGTTCTAGATTTGGACCTTCTTAGGCCCCAAATATCATAAATTTGCATCTTTTATTGAGCTCATTCCCTCTCCATGCATAAGAACATTGTTTGATGGTTGGTTTTGGGTGTTATGGCCGTGTGAGGCTATGTATGCATGTAAAGTTTGCAACTTTACGTGATATCTGCAGTAGGAGATGATGGATCTAAAGTTTGGGACCTTAAGTCCCACTGGAAAGGACCGTAATCACGATGAACTTTGGGGAACTCGACGAGTCGTGCAAGTGACTCGGCGAGTCGAGAGGGTTTTCTCGTTTACGGCAAAGAGGTACGGCCAAGAGTGTACGGCCAAGGGTGTTCGGCCAAGGGTTTGCGGTGACAGGTGTACGGCCGTACACATCAAGGAACTCGACGAGTCCCTCGGGTGACTCGGCGAGTCGGCGAGTTAAGCAAGGAACCCGACGAGTGAATTATTTTACCCGACGAGTCAAGGTCAACATGGACTGTGAACCTTGACTATAGACTGTGACTTTGACCAGGGTTGACCATGGGGGTGTTTGTGGGATTATGATGAGTTACTTACTCATTGATTATAGGCGGTTTGGGAGGAGCAGTGTGGGATATATCTGATTACAGTTTGCCAGTTCAGCCTTTGAGAGGTGAGTCTTCTCACCATACCAATGGGTCTAAGGCACCAAGGCCGGCCCATTTTGCGATAGTTGGTGTACTTGTTATGTAGAGGTGTGATATGTATTTGTGCATGATATGTGGTAGAGATAGCCTTCGTGGCTAACGGTAGAGATAGCCGTATGGCTACAGGTAGAGACGACCTTATGGCCAATGGTAGAGATAGCCTTTATGGTTGATGGTAGAGATAGCCGTTGTGGCTAACGGTAGGGATAGCTTCATGGCTAATTGACATGTGATATGTGTAGAGGTAGCTTTATAGCTAATATGTTATGTGGTTTGTGTGGGGTATGCTCTGGGGGACTCACTAAGCTTTCAGCTTACCGTTTGTGGATTTGTTTTCAGGTACTTCTGAGTCCAAGGGTAAAGGCAAGGCGTGATGATGCGGCGTGCACTCTATCTCTCTTTTCCGATCTGGTTTGGGGGACACTCTGATGTTTGAAAATAATAATGTTGTAATGTTGATGGTTTTGAAAATGATTATTGGAATCTTTATGTTTTAAGAAAATGGTTGACTAATTAAAAATGAAAAAAAAATTTCCTTTGTAAATTTTGGGTCGTTAGAAATCATGTGATGATTTGTTAAACGAGGCGCAAGACATACGAAATGTGTTTGAGACATTTACAGAAGAAGAGCATACAAATAATAGACAGAGACTAAAAGCCACTATTTATGCAGTACATTGGTGTGCCTTTCAAGGAGTTGCATATAAGGACCACGATGAAGGACCAGATTCCATAAACAAAGGAAATTTTCGTCAAATGTTGAAGACAATTGGCGATTATAACACGGAGATGGAAGAATTGTTTCGGACCAGCTCCTAAATATGCATCATATATATATATATATATATAATATATATATATATATATATATATATATATATATATATATATATATATATATATATATATCACCTTCAATTCAAAAAGAGGTTCTACACCTTATATCAATTAGGGTGAGGAGGATGATTTGTGCGTAGATTGATGGTGGAAAATTTTGTTTAGTTGTTGACGAAGCACGTGATCAGCAGTAGCGGAGCCAAGATTTTGTTTTATGGTATGAAAATAATTTACAAAATATGAATGATAGAAAAATACTTCAAATGATAAAAGATGTAACAATATATGCAGCAAACGGTATTCTCTTCTTATAAAATTTGAAATTTTTAATGGGCATGCTATATGGCAATTCACGTCCCTAGTCTTTTGTAGTTAATAATATATATATATATATATATTATGTGGGTGGGCCAAGGCCCACTCTTGTACTAATGTGGCTACGCCACTGGTGATCAGTCTAATAAAGAGCAAATGTCAATTTTTTTGAGATTTGTAAATAAAGAAGGCTTTGTTATGGAGCGTTTCTTTGGGCTTGTTCATGTACCCGACACTACAGCACAAACACTTAAAAATGCAATTTATTTTGTATTGTCACATAACAATCTTGATCTTCAGTCAATTCGTGGCCAAGGGTATGGTGGTGCAAGCAACATGCGAGGTCATTTCAAGGGTTTGCAAGCATTGATTTCAAATGATTGTCCATATGCGTATTATGTTCATTGTTTTTCTCATCGATTGCAATTAGCATTAATGGCTGCTTGACAAGGAGTTGTTGCATTTTAAAAGTTTTTTACTCGATTATCTTTAGTTATCAATGTTGTTGGTGTTTCCTCAAAGCGTGCCGATCAACTTAGAGTTGCACAAGTCGAAGAAATTGCATATAAGATTTTTATTGATGAGTTAGAGACAGGTAGAGGTTTTAATCAAATTGGTAAATTACAATGAGCTGGTGATACTAGATGGAGTTCTCACCTTAAATCAGTTTCTAGCTTAATATAAAAGTTTAGTCCAACTTGTGAGGTTTTACTTAAAATTATTGAAGATGGCACCGGTTCAATCAAAGGCGATGCAGATTCAACATATGAGGCTATTACTACATTTGAGTTCATTTTTTGTTCTTCATCTCGAGAAAGAAATAATGGAGATCACTGATTTACTTTGCCAAGCTTTACAAAGACAATCTCAAGATATTTGTAATGCATTGAGGCTAGTTGCATCTACCAAATTGTTATTACAAAAAATGAAATATGAAAGATGGGATGGGTTGCTCTATCTTGTTATTTCATTTTTCAGGAACGCAACATTGATATCCCTGATATGTATTCTCCACACTTTAGTAGAGGGGCTCGAGCTCGTAACGAGCGTAGTGATCATACACTTGAACATCATTACCGAGTTGATATATTTTACGAAGCAATTAATTGTCAAATAATGGAACTAAATCATCGATTCAGCGATAGCTCTACGGAGTTGCTTCGACTTCCAACGACTTTAGATCCTAAAAGTGTTGATGAGCCTTTTCGAAGTGGTGATATAATTGAATTAGTAGAGAAGTTTTACCCTGAAGATTTCAATGAACAAGAAAAAATAGTTTTGAAGATTCAACTTCAACATTATGAGATTGATTTCGTTCGGCATGCAGATTATAAACCATTGACATCTATGTCAGAATTGTGTCAATGGTTGATAAATACTAGAAGTGTAGCAAACTTTCATCTTATTTATCGAGTAGCTAGTCTCGTACTTACTCTTTCAGTTTTTACTGCTACAACAGAGAGATCATTTTCAGCAATGAACCTCATTAAAACAAGGTTACGGAATAAGATGGAAGACGAGTTTTGAATGACTCATTGGTTTTTCACTTCGAAAAGGAAATTGCTGAAAAGATTAGTTTAGAGACAGTTGTAGAAGACTTTAAAAAAACAAAAGATCGTAGCGTTCGACTTTCATAAATGATGTAATAGTCTTTATTAGTTTTCTTGTTTACACTTCTGATGTCATAATTTTGAACCAAATAAAACATGTTTATATAGTTTAATTATGAAGTTTTGATTTCGGCCCCTAGTTGTAATGTTTGTGTTCCGCCCCTATGAAAAATCTCGTTTGTTTGACCAAATCTAATCGTTTGTTTGACCAAATCTAATTGTTTAATAAAGAAATAAATGAAATAAATTTGACCAACTCATTCATGAATCAGAGACCCAAGTAATGATGATTCTATGTTTAAAATCTCATTGGTCTGTTAAAAAATAATCCAATTTCATCGTAACATACTTAGTTGTCATTTTTATAATTATTTTTGCTAATAAAAAATAATATAATATTGAGATATATATATATATATATATATATATATATATATATATATATATATATATATATATATATATAAGAAAAAGCTGTGTATCTCACCCTCTAGTTACACGTAGTAATTTGTAACTTAGGTTTATTATATGTAAATAATTGTGGTGTAGAAAAACAAAAAGGGGTAATTTGAAACTTTTATGTAAATGAAAGGCATGTAAACAAAAGTTCGAAAAAGAAGAAGTACGTATGCATATGATCTAGAAAATGACGTGCCTTTATTGCCTTTACAGTCCCAGAAGTTGCTGACAGAGATACAAAAAAGTTATCCAATTATTTGCAAAATAAAATAGTGCGAAGCTTCCTTTCCCACGGCGTTGACGACCTTGTCGTCTTCGTCCTCTGTGAACTCCTGGACGATCTATAAATACCCTCTCAGTACTTTGAATCTTCACACGTCTTCTTTAAATCCTCTTATTTTTCCAATTTACTAGATCCAAAGCAGATACACTCGGCACATTCAAATCAGCATCTACTTCACAGACATGGCAAAGGTACTTATTTGTTAACTAATTCAGTTCAATTCTGTTTTGTTTTTTCGAATAAGATAATCTCAATTTGTGTAATTGATTGGTTTTGCAGCAAAAGATTGTGGTGAAGGTGACAATGAACAACGAAAAGAAAATCCGTAAGGCTCTGAAAATTGCCGTTAGTCTCTCTGGTAAGATCATGTTTTGTGATTTTCCTCCTCCCAATTTTCACTCGATTCTTGTTTTCCAGAAAAATGGCTTAATTTCAATTTCATAACGTAAATGTTAACCTCAATTTGAATTGTGGGTTTTATACCTGATTATTGTTAACATCAATTGAAATTGATTGAATTACTTGACTAAATCACGATCTGAAAATTGATGAACAGGTGTTGAATCAGCATCTTTCGTTGGATCAGATAAAACCCAAATCGCTGTGACTGGGGAACATGTCGACTCAGTTGAACTGGCGACCTTGCTAAGGAAAGGTGTCGGATACACCGAGCTAGTGAGTGTTGGTCCGGTGGAGGAGAAGAAACCAGCCGCCGCAAAGGAAACAAATCCCACGGTAGCGCCACTAAATTTTACGGTTAATCCATACCAATACTACTACGGCAGCTATGGGATACCCTACTATGCATATGCATATGAGATTTAGATGTTATTTAGGGCATGTTCGGCGAAATTAGCTGGTAGCTTGTAGCGGGTGGCGGGTAGTTTGTAGTTTGTAGCGTTTTGTTAAACGCTACATGAAGTAGCATTTGCATTTGGAACGTTTTGTTTGAACTAAACGCTAGAAGTTGTAGTGCCAAACAAGACTTTATGTTCAAAATGGAACGTTTTGTCAAACGCTAGAAGCTAGAAGCTTTCAAACGCTCCCAAAAGCTCCGTGCCGAACACACCCTTAGTGAAAAAGAGTGAAAGAAATTAGTTTTATATTGCTGCATAACTAGCTTCATTTAACCTTTTTTTTTTTGGGAGTTTTGCATTGCATGAAATAAGAGACCCTTGATGTACATATTATCTTTGTAATATATGGGAAAATTTTACTATACTTTATATACATTAGTTTACTAGTTTATAACCCGTAGAAACAATGGTTACAAAATTACTTCATTTTGACAACAAAAATTCATAATTATTAATCAATTATTTTATATAAATAATTTTAAATAAATTATTAATTAAATGATATACCAAAATTTTAAAGTTAGTTATAGCTTCAAATTTAATATATAATCAAAAAAGTAAACATTTCTATAAAAAAATTAAAATCTATTATTTAAAACTTTAACCTCGTTAATTGTGATAGTGATTTGTCTAATATATCTCATTGACATATGTCATAATATTAATGTGAAGTTGTATTAGAATGACACATGACAAAAAGAGATTAAAACTATTCTTTTATTAGTATAGAGATTAAACATCTTATTTAAAAAAATAATAAATAAAGATAGTCTTGTAGATTATTTCCATATGTCGTCATTGAATACTAATGTGTTCCATATGTCGTCATTGAATTCTAATTTGTCATTACAAATGATACACTTTTGCACAACTAGTCGTTTACTTTATTATGAATCATCATATGAATGAACTTAGGTCGGACCGGCAAAAGTGATGTGGCATCTGTTGTGTGCAAGAAATATGATGCTGGTGTGGGCATGGAGAAGCTGATGTACATAACAATCATTTCTCTCTCCTCGGCAGGCAAATGTTATTTTCTTGTTGTCGGAAAAGGCTTGGCAAAGAAGATGCTAAGCTGGTGCTCTACTCCAGGGGCGTGGAAATAAGAGCGACTCCTTCAGAACGTTATTAAGCGTCAAATTGGTGAGATGGTAAAAAGTTGCACAAAGTATGTAATTTAGAAATATTTACAAAATAGCTTAGGGTGCGTTTGGTTGTGGAAAATTGTTTTCATTTTCTAAGAAAATGTTTTCAGAAAATAAAGTTGAGTTTCATTTTCAATTTTCAATGAAAATTTTAGAAAACGTGTTTGGTTGAAACCGGGGGGTTTTCATTTTCTATCTTATAAATTTGGAAAACTTTGGAAAACTATAAAAATCACTTTTCTAATTTACATACAATTTGAAAAAATGAAAATTTTCATTTTCTTGGAAAATTTTGGAAAACTGAACGAACCAAACGCGTTTTCAAATTTTCCGTTTTTCTTGGAAAATTTTCCTAAAAAACTGGAAAATTTTCCACAACCAAACGCACCCTTAATTTCTTAATGATTTAGCCAAAATTAGCTTTTATCGAAAAATAGCCAACGAAACCGCTGATGAGGCTAACATGCCCGTAGTTTCGTCAACTCAGATGTAGAATTGTCGTTTGACATGAGATTTTGTGTTATCTATAAAAAAAACCATTCATTTTGCCCATTTTTGAAACACAAAATCGCATATGGCACATGGCCATCTACGGTTTCCTCTCAAGTCCTCTGTGATTTCCACTTTTTTGACATGCGGTTTTTTATTTGTTACGTTCTCAATGAAAGTTTGTACGTTTGACTACAATTTTTGTTCATTTTGAATACGATTTCTGACATCTTTGACTATGATTTTGTATATTTTCACTACTTTATATATAGAATGTAGATAAAAGAAATTAAAGTATTAGTGTTTATTTTTTCATGTTATATTTTTCATTAAAAATATTATGATTTCTACTAAATATTTTGATGTGGTAATAACTGGCGGAAAGTGAGAGATAAATGATTATCAACTAAGATACGTTTGGAAATGGGGGGAAGTTCTAGAATACTTCCGTGTGCGATTTTCGGAAAATATTACTTTTTGTGAATTTCTATATTTGGTGAAAGTAAGACTAGTTTGTTAGATAAATCAAATATTAGTCTTGTTTTGCGTCATCCTAAAATGTAGTATATTATAGTCATAGTTGATGATGGTTATGTTAGAAACTTGATCAATGTAATTAAAGAGTTTTGGAACAAAACCTATGAATGTAATTCTCGTGGTTGTTGAAGGTGATGGTGCTAAGGAAGGAGACGATAGTGGAAAAACATCAGTTGAAAACATATCCAGCGGAATAGGAAGCAACTCTTAATGTACTTCGATTTCATAGTGTTGTTGAAAATGAAAATGTGGTGTAGTCACCAATTCACTATGTGGATCCTCAAAATTATACGTATGTTGTTACATATCTTAATGATGTAGGTGCATGCGATAATACCGAACACCAATACCAAGTTCATCTTAATGTGGTCGGTAAAGTTAATGAAATTGAAAACCAAGAAGAAGTTCCATTTTTTAATGATGTCAATCTAGCTGGTTACGGGGATACAATAGTTGTTCGTTTAGATATATTCGGCATATAAAGTAATTCCAATGGAGAAAAGTCAGATGGTGAACCAATACATAGGTTTCATATACCATATTGTATAGTATTCCCAATTTACCATCATGTAAAGACATTGGTAAAGTCAAGACTCCATCATATAAATTAGACCCTAGTCAAAAGATCGAACTTCGACACATATTTTCAAGCAAAGAAGCTCTTAAAATGGTTTTTGGAAAAAAAATGTATTAAGGGAGGTTTTTCAGTGCAAGACAACCAGATTAACCAAATAAAGGATCGAGCTTTTTTATTTTGAGAAAAAAATGTTCTTGAATGATAAGGGAAATAGGCCAAAGGCAGTCAAATAATGTGATTGACCTTTCCAAGTCACAATACATTTTGACACACACATGTTCTTCAATACAGCTACACCCGAAGCATCAACAAGTAAACAAAATTATAATAAAGCCTACCAGGGATGTGGGATTGTTAGGATTATGAACTCAAAGTACAAAATTAGTATTACATACCAACAGGCTTGGCGGGAAAAACAACATACAATCATATTGTTAAGGGGTACCGAAGAGAATTCATTTTGCCAAACTTCTCGCTTGTTTCTACAACTTAGTGAAGCCTAATCCGGACACTGTCATACATATTAAAACATATGATGGTTATCAGTTTGATTTTATGTATATCTCACTCGCTTACTCAGTAAGTATTATTACAATTTATAATTGCATTTTGGACGTACCCACACGAATGATTAATTTTAAATAAATTTCCTTTTCTTTGTAGGTACGTTCTTTCCTTAACTGTTATAGGTGGACCTGTGATAGGTTTTGGGAAGCTAAAAATGATATTTTTTATAAAACTATAATAAGCAAAAAACATAAGCGATATTAAAATAACATTCATTTTAAGACCATTTTAAAACAAAACCATGAAGGATCCAATTACATGATATATAAAGATTATAAACAACCATAGGTTGTTTAGATGATAACCTATGAAGACTTTGATCCCACTTTACAATTGGGGAGTTGATAAAGATGGCAAAAACTCAAGGAAGAGTTTCTCTATAATGTACTTCTTAAGCCTTCAAGCACTTATCACAAATAAGTTTAAAGAATAAACACTTAATAATCACTAACTCTTTCACTGTTCTTCAAAATAGAGAAAGAGAGGATAAAGATTTACATTCAGCCAAGAAGGAAAAACAGACAAATGGAAACTAAAACAGAAAGCCTTTAGCACTCTTTTATACGCACACATAATATCAAAGACCCATACTTCTACAAAGGTTAATGATAGAGGACATAAGGAGTATTGTATGTGTAAGAGGGAAACTTGCAAGAAAACTTGCCATATACCTTCTTACTTACAACCTAAGGGAAAGAAAGAAGAGCTATTGTGTGTCTTACACACAAATTTATAACCCACATGTGTATTAGATTATATATATATATATATATATATATATATATATATATATATATATATATATATATGAGATTCTAAAGGTCCAAATACTTGTACACAACATATTAAATTAAACCATATACCACAATACATATACAGTGCATACAAATAATGGCCTTCAGCATCAAGCTGGTCCGCCCTTGACCATCATCATGAAGCTGGTCTGCCCTTTTTTGCCTACAACATAAAGCTAGACCGCACCTTGGCCTTCAACGTAAAGCTGGTCCACTCGAGTCTATTGGACTTTAGCCCAAGGCTGGGCCGCTCTCAATTCCCCATATAATATATCAAAACATATAAAAGTACGACATGTAATAATCTAATACTACATGAAACTAACAGAACTAGACTAATGGCATACTACAGGGCAACTATATCCTAATATACATATGATATATACTGGAGCACATAATATAGTGAGGAAAACTCACCAGGACAGGTATTCAACCGATTGACAGCTATTTGGGTGATTCTACTAGCGATCCAATTTGGCTTGTAACGCGCCTAACAAGTATTAACCTATAATGAAAGCTAGATCTTTCACTAATCCCAGAGAATACCGAGATTTCTATGAAATAAGGGTTAGCCAGAACGGACAATTGGGAGGTAAGACCATTTCGGTATATAGCTTTTTGAAATCCAACAACCAAGCCAATATGACCATTCTAGACATCTCTCCCATAAGTAGATCAATCAACATTGTAACTAGAATTACTGATAAATCTTATATATATATATATATATATATATATATATATATATATATATATATATATATATATATATATATATATAGAGAGAGAGAGAGAGAGCGAGTGAGAGTTAGGTTCAAATGTTTCTAACTATTGTGTTCTTAAATGCACCAATGAGAATTTAGCAATAATTTAATCACTAATTAAATTAATAAGGGTAAATTAGTAATAATACATATATATATATATATATATATATATATATATATATATATATATATATATTAATTAATATCCAAAATTAACAATTGATATTCCTTTATTTAAGAGATCAATTTTTATTTAACTATTAAAAACCTATTCCACCTATAAACACCACCAATTGTTCCTCCTATTTCTCTAAAAACGCCGGCCACACCACCAACTTCTTCCCTCCGCCGACTTCTTATCTAGAAAGGCTCAGTTGGAGGCGACTAATGCAAGCTACATCTCCGGTTGCAAACCCCCTTCATGACAGCCATACCTAGGTAAGGTTTATTCTCGATTACATATTTCGCCAGGAATACTACCCACCTCGAGTCATTTGTTATGGCAACT